ACTTGATTCAAGAGTAAAGCTTATGAGGTGATATACCGTAACTGAATACATCAATATCTCATTTTTTATGTTTGGTATCAAAAGACTCGTTTTGTGACGACACCTCACAATTGCTGCGTTTTATGTATTCTTTGTATGCATTTGTCATAATTGAATATAATAAAAAAAAAAAAAAGAGAAAAAAAAAATACACATTTACACCGTATACGTGTTACGTAATTAACAATATTGAATTTTATTATTCCACGCCACATCAATATTTTTCAGCTCATTACAAAATATAACTTCCATGTGGACTACTTATTTAAAGTGGTTCTCGCCATAGTTGCGCGCACATAAATCGGCGAGAGCGTTATATGTAAACGAGGCTACGCACACCATTACAGTCAATCACAGAATGTTTCATTTCACCATGAATAGACGAATGTGGGACCTAAATTATTTATCAGCTACTTTAATACCCATTATGCATTATAGCAAGTGTCCACGGACAAGCATGCGGCAGTCAATGGTGTGTACAATGTTATCTAATATTGTGAGGCTATGCCAATTCGATAAGTATCTAGGTTGAAACGCATCGATGAGTGTTGAAGTGAGTGTGCATTCTGTACTTGTATTATGATTTGTCTGAATATAAGACGAGTAATTTCGGGGAAAAATTCAAATGGCTTCCTAGCCTGTAAAGATTGTTGCTTGTATGCAAGTATCTCAATGGTCTTGTCTCTTGACACACTAATGTCCGTCATTCACATTCGCTGAATTACCTTACCCCTGTCAAAATGAATAGCATCACATGTGATCCCACTCCATTATCTTATGCACTGCCATTACTCTGGAATTATCCAGCCTCAAGGAGGCATACAGTGATCATGTTTTCTGGATTGGCAGGTTCGCTGCTAACCATTCTCTTGCTTAATTTAGTTTCAATACTTCATTTGTTTTAGTTTATAAACCGTACTATGTCCCGCACATCACAATGTAACCTTACAGTTTTTGGCTACTAAATGACAAGGTTTTATGGGCGCACAAGCGGCCCAGTTTCGGCAACGGCGTACTGTACTGCTACCATAACCGACCTCTACAGCTGTCGACTACTTAGATCATTACTTTAAAAAAAAATGGAAGTGAATTCACAGTATACTCCCCTTTTCCCAAATCTAAACATTGTAATTGGAACTTTACTGGACGTTGTATACACCCCCACCCACACACACACACACACCAGCTATCCGTCTTGTATATACTGTAGTGTTCAATTGCTGAAACTCTCATCCTCTATTATGGTTGACTTAGGAAGCATGAATTCAGTAAAACCGCATATAAAACAGTTTAAAACGTTGAAAAAGTTTAAACCATTTTGTACGCAGTTTGGCTAAATATTATTAGACGCTTTGTTGAACCATTTGGTGACGCATAACTAAAATATTTTGTAGTGTTAGGACACACTGTGACACTACAGTATAGTATGTTACTGTTGGTGCTTGGCGGAGATATTCCCTCAACACTGACCTTTGTCGAATTAACCAACGCTGAGGACCAACACAACTGCTTTGGATGAAGTACCAATCGTACCAAAGATATAGTCGTCAGAAGCTTAACATTCTTAGAGGTCTGTATTAAATTCTGCAGAATAATAGTATGTCATGCACTTTACATACTATTGGTGCCTTGTAGAGATGTTAGCGACTCCTCCTGTGGACTATGCTCGATGCATCACTTATACATTTTGGAATCAATGTACTAACGGAAACCACTGTCGTCAAAAGCTAAATTGTCTTAGGAACCCATCACCTATGTCACCTACTTCACATATAATATTGGTGCTTAGAGGAAATTGTCTTGAATTCTGTCCCTCCAGCATCTTTTGTGGAATAATGCCCAAATGGAGTTGGACAAAACCAAAATGTCATCGAAATTTCAGCCTGTTGTACGTCAATTCCGCATGCTCTGACCCTTTATGGATCTGCTAAATGAGTGATTCAATATTTTTCTCATTATATTCAACCTAATCCAGCTTTGTTTCGTACAACTTCATTCAATAACATCAAAGCAATCCTTTCTTAGTTTCATAACAAGCACGCTTAGACTACCGTTACTAAAATCTAATATTTTATCCTATTTAAAGACTACTTTCATGGTTTGCAGCATGGTTCTTCTTCTTCTTCTCGCTGCCTTCATCTTGTTGAAGATTCTGCAATTGTCTATAAGCTCATGCGTGTCTTGCAACTATGTTGTTAATTATATGTCTTTGGCCAAAGGGCGTTCTACTGCCTCACAACTCTTTGCAGTCTTCAATAGTGTCAGTAATCTCAACAAAATCTGGAAAAATCGATCTCACCTAGGCCTACTTGGATTTTCCTGACAGCGTGCCTCATCCATTACTTCTTCATAAATTATAGTACACTCCTAGCTATCTCTGTCGTTGAGTCTAAGCTTGTCTTATTAACTACTGTTAAAGAACCATCCTTACCGATAGTGGCGCGACGCTTGTGCAAGTAGCTTGTGTCCTTAGACAAGACACTTTCGCTACATTTGTCTTTCTCTACCCAGAAGTATAGTGGGTATCAGGAGGAGTGGCAAGCCAGAACATCCTTGTAGTCTGTTACAAACGGCAAACAGAGATGGGTACTTCAACAATACTTTGTTTAATTACACGTCAACACATGTGAACTTTGCATCCAGTGTTTCAAATGCCAAATTAATTCTATTACTTGCAAACGTGAGGGAATAATGTTCTATAACGGGTCAACCACATGTGCTTATATCTCCTCTCAAAAGTTAATGGTATTCTGGATGTGATTGTAATATAATTTCTTTTAGTATGATAATTGCTTGATAATTCAGTATATGAATTATCGTCAGGCATTTTATCCGAAAACATAAATTATCTGATGCATATGTTATTATACCATCCACAAGTAGATAATATTGATAGGGTACCAAAGTGCACGCCTGTGTGTGTGTGTGTGTGCACGCCTGTGTGTTTGAACGCAGTACAAGTTGGCGTAAGCTCTTTACCTGCAGACTAGAACTATTGACCTTTGTAATAAAATTGACGTATGAGTGGAACATACTGACAGTAAATTAAACTGACTTACACTAGTCACTAACTGAATAATGGATGAGTGTGCAGATGAATGCGATATAAGTATCATAGGAAACACCCAATTATTTCGCAAAAGAACATTTAAAAATGAACTATGAACAGAAGAACGAAAGATCGAATTTGTAAGCTAGCCATTGCAGTGTTGCTAGGTGACCAACAATCCTCCGGCAACCACTTGATTGACACTACTGGCACTAGTCAGGATGTGCATACAAATCAAAGTACAATTCTGTACGACCTTGTTGGGTGAAATTAGTTTTGAGATGAACACTTGTACAATATCATACTTCGCCCCTCCCTCCGGCCCCACACTTCCTCTTCTTCATTAAAATCATCACCAAAATACAACATTCACCACCACATCATAGACCATTATTTTCACTACAATCATAACATAACTATCACAACATACCAACATAATAACAATCAGTATTATACCATAATCATTATCATCATAAATGTTACCGTCATCATAAATGTTACCTTGGTATTATCAATTAGAATTTACAACTAAAGACCGATCTGTCTGTCAATCTCATCCTTCAGTGATAGTTAACAAAACAACGGGAGGAAGTTGTATTTCAAACAAGTATATTTTGGATAAAACAACGATTACTTGTCGCTTTTAGCCAAATTAGTCCCAGTTGTCCGGAACATCACTTCAATAAAATAGTATAAAACGGTCAATAAGAGGACAGGGACCTGAGACTAACAGGTGATAACGACTTATTCTTTTAAAATATCGGGTGCTAAAATTGATTCAAACTAAATTCGACACATGGAAATTGTACACAACTTATATATTTTATCAGTGTATAGGCCCCTATGCATGCAACTAATATACTGGGATATTCCAAAGATTTCTGTGATGCCTTGGAGGAAATTCCTTCGCTGACACACTAGCAGCATCTGCAGCCTGGATGCGGATTTCTTTTGTTATTCTTATGTGTAAGTTTATTGCAGGTGATACAGATAATAGCTAATACACGCGACTTAATAAAACTATAATTGCTATAAGCAGATCAATGCAGAGAATAAATCGAAGACAAAACAGATTAATATTAAACGAATGGATAAAGCAGTTGTATGTCAACTATATTATATCCTTGTTAAATACGAGGTTCATTATTTGATACCACTTCTACAACTTCGACGGTCGTTTTGCCTAGGCCTATATATACATTCCCAAAAATAAAGTCAATTTGAGTCTACAATGTTGTAAAAAAAAAAACACATTAAGGACGCTGTACACTCTTCAGTAAAAGTAGGGGATTTTCTCCCGGTGTACCGTACTGCCCAATCACCACCAGAAAACACCGCACTGGAAATAAGTCTTCTTTGGTATTTGTTTGGTTATCCTTTCATGGTGTTTCCACCGATTAAATCCAGCGCTTTCCCGAGTCCAAGACCCCCGACGAGAGGGCAGATTTCCCCGACGAGAGCAAAGTGGGCGTCACGTGGTCGAGTGTCGCTTAAAATGTTTCGAAAGTGGTCCAGGGGTCAAAGCCCCAACAAATGTTGACAATTTAGAGGATTCAAAGGCTTACTTAATCGATTTTAGAGTATAATAATACGTAGAAAATATGCATAAAAATTTTTCTTTTCCCCGACTTGAGGCCCTAGCCCCTCACCCCCCCCCCCACTGCTGGCGCCATCCCTGATTAAATCCAATCCAATACAATAAAAACTATGGAGCTCTCTTGATCTGACGTCATTTATACTTGTCAACAAACATTAATATAAATTTCCTAAATTTAACATTGTGACATCTTTATCTCTTTTATAGACGCGCAGCAGAAGTTTGTGTGACAATTAGAAGACAAAAAGACAGAATGTTCATGGTTCTAAAAACGTTTAGCGACGGCCTAAACAACACTATTTAAACGTTACATACCTCTGTAAACTCGACAGTGGCTGGATCCCCGGTGATAGATCCATCCGGGTTTCTATAACCTGCGTACATAATGAGCTGGGGGTTCCAGACTCTGAAATCATGTTTTCCATCTGTTCGATTTGGAAATACTGTAATTGCTGACCTATTGGGAAATGAATCAAAATGCATTTGGCAATATTGTATCAATTTAACTAACATAAGTAGAGAGAGATACGAATTAACATTTCCTAAAATAACAAAATACATGGTTGTGAATTCAAATATGTGTTTCTCCACCCACTGATCGAGCAGAACTGTGAGAAAGAGAAAAGTAAAGAAACGAAGAGAAAGGTATACGGAAAAATACAATTTCATGACTGGCCACAGGACAACAACCACCGTTTATCTTCAAATATGGTAATAAATATTGAGAAAAACATATATGTCCCATCGGGATTCGAACCCAAGACCTTCCGATTACTGTCTAGATACTCTATCAACTGAGCTATGAGGCCAAGTAGTATACACCCTTGGATTTTCCCACTAGGGCAC